ATATTATGTAATCATTTGTAGTTACGTTGTAGATAAAATTTAGATGAATGTATCCCTTTTATGCATTTTATTAATGTGAAATAATTTATTATTTGTGCAGAATGGACACTTTTTTGCGCCACATAATGTTGATTATGGGGTGCTTAGATTCCACACTTTGTGTGATCCTAGCATTTCTAGCCAGATTAAAGAGCTTCTATCCTCAAATGGGTTGAAACTTTTCAAAAAGACGTGTTTTGGATACTTACTATCTCTTCCCACCATATGCATGCAAAACCAAGCCATTCATCTTCTGATGAAGTATGAATTGAGTAAATCCAATGCATCATATTTTTCTGTACAGTTAAAGGGTGAAGCATTAAATTTTGGATTGAGTGAGTTTGCATTAATTACTGGTCTAAGATGTGTTACCCAGGTTACTAATTTTGGTTATACTCCCTCTTATGTTAGCAAAATAATGAGCAGTTATTTTCCTAACAAATTAAGAGTGGATAAGTCTTATTTGAAATAGATAGTAAGCACTAGATCCTGGGTAAACGATGAGGATGCGGTGAAGTTGTGCATCCTTTATCTTTTAGAATTTTTCATTTGTCCTTCGGATAAAGATCATGTTTCTTTTGTAGATTACTTTAAGTTCTATTTGGTAGAATCTGGGCAGTATGAATCATACCCATAAGGTATTAAATCTTTTACCCAGATGATGGAATCTGTTAGGCACAGACTAAATCCGTATATACATTCTTATCTCATACGGGGATGCTCACTAGCATTGCAAGTATGACTTTATGAGTGTTGCTCTACTGTCAGCACTGATCTAGCTACGAGGTGTTCTAACTCAATACCTCGCATACTAAGATGGTCAGCTAGTAAGGGGTAGATTTGGTTAGCTGCCTTTGAAGAGAAGATGATAAAGCCTGAGTGGATAAAGGTAAAGTTTCTTTTTTTATGATTATACATTTACCTTCAAAATATCTATAATTATTCTACATTTTCTGCCTTGATCAAACTAATTTATTTTTTCTCATTCAGTTTACCAATATAGGTGAATCTGGAGAAGAGATTGCAGTGCTGATTTTGCCCGACAAAATTGAGTACAAAGTTCAAGAAGGTGAACAAACATCTGAGGTTCCCAATGCTGATCCTCCTACGTTGGAACCCAAACAAACAGATAGAGAAGAGGACAAGGAGTCTATTGCTAAGAAGATCAGAAAATTAGAAAAAGGAATTGAGCAGGTAATACATATAACCTACAATATATCTACAAAATATCTACAATATATCTACATTTCATAAACTGTCTACAAAATATCTACAAATTTGTAAATTCTGATATATATCTATATATAATTGCATATGTTTTTGAATGTATGTCAGGACATATTATGAAGTTAACAACTTACTATATTGTAACTTGTAGGTTAATGGAAAGCTTGAAGATTTTAGGAAAGTTGTCTTTGTAGAACTCGATAGCCTTCGAGGGTTTATAAATGAGTCTGTGCAGACTATTTTGCAAATGATAAATAGTAGAAATGTGTAAGATGATGCAAAGGTAAGATCTGACTTTTATTTTATAGCAAAACAATTTAGACATATGAAAAAATATATACAAACTAACATAAAACATTCAGTTTGCTGGCAGTTCAACAAAAAACAATGACCAACAAAAAGACTTGAACAATTAGCATTTTCAGTTCAATATTGGGGAACAAATGCAGGCCAGCACCAGCAAAACAGGTATCTACAAAATACCTACAATTTGTGTCAGTGTATATACAACATATCTACACTTATCCACAAATTATCTACAATTTTGATACAGATATGCTACAACTTTAAAGCCACCATTATCTAGTATTATTTACCATTTTTAATTATAAAACAAAGCATGTTGAAGGTGCAGTTGGTCAAGAAAATCTTCCAGCACATGGTGATTTATATACACATTTTCAAGTTGCAGCTGATGAAGATAAAGCAGGTATCATACTGTCATTCAAAGATATTTTCTTGTTATTTATAAATTTTAACATTCTTGTTAAGTAAGATATGAATTGTGTTACAGTGATGGAAGATATCAATGCACAGTCCCCAATTCACGGAGTGACAGTAGCAGCTCAGACAGAACAGGTCATTGAGGAACATGACAATAAAGGTGCAGATGCACAGTATGTGGATCTAGATGATTCAGAAGGATCAGGAGTTAAGAAGAAGGGGGTCACACTAGATGATTTTGAGTTGCCTGACAACTTATCCCAGTTGGTTAAGTTTGGCGAGCCCATACAAGATGATGCAACACCTATGCATCCGAGGAGAACAAGGCATCCGGGAAAGCATGATCGATCACTATTTATCCCTCTATACAGTTCTGGGGGCAGCAGCTCAGTTGGACCTAAAATTTTCTACCTCAAGCACCCTTTTACTACTGTTATTGGTGAAGATGTAGATCCAGAGGTTTTAAATAACTTCAACAAGTGGTTATACCACTGTAGCAACAAAGGTTCAAAGAGATATGAATGCATAATTTGACACTTGCATTTCAGCATTTATCTTTTACATATCTAATTCAATCTACAATTTTTTTTGACGTTTATTTGTTGTTAAAGGAGAAAGGCCCCGTTTTCCATAAAGGATAATCAAATTAAGCCTTGGTTAGACCTTGGAGTGGAAAAGGTTGATAAGAAGGAATGGTTATTTTCCCTGGCTCACCCCGGACAAGTCCTCAATGACTCGGTAAGTATCAAAGAATCTATTCCCAAGATATGATTTATAGATATTTTGTCTTCTGCTTTGTAGTTTAATTGTAGTTATGTTATAGATATCTATAATATATGAAGATGACTTGTAGTATAAATTGTAGATATGATGTAGATATGATTGTAAATGTTGTCTTTCTTGTATCTAGTGTAATTGTATTTAGGTTTCAGATTATGTATCATATTTGAAGATTATTTATAGTATAAATTCTATATATATATTTTGTGGACAGAATAGTTTGTTGTTGTATTTCCTGTTTGTAGGGTAATTGTAGTTATTTTGTAGTTTATGTAAAACATTACAAGATTAATTGTAGTATAAAATGTAGATATAAGACATGATTGTAGATATTGTGTTACATGTTTGCCCAGTAACTGTATATAAATTATAGTTATTTTTAGATTATTTGAAGTTGACTTTGTAGTTTAAATTGTAGAGCTGTTTTTAGACATCATTATAGATTTTTTGTTTCTGTTTTGTAGTAAATTGTTGTTATAATGTAGTTTTATGTAAATTATTTGAAGTTGACTTGATATTTATATGCCAACTATTTTTGGTTGCAGCACATTGATGTTTTAATGTATTACTTGAGGAAAAGAGGAAAGTATGACCCCAATAACAAGACCAGGTTTACCACAACGGATTGTTTGTTCAAGATCAAGATAGAACAAATTTATGAAAAGTTCATAAATTCACCTCCACAAACGAAGTATTCGGTTGTTAAACCCCAAGATGTTGTTGCAGAATATATTTTGGGGTATAGACTACTTGCTAATGTTGCATGGGATGAAGTTGACTATGTCATCATGCCCGTCAATATTGTAAAAAAATTCCATTGGGTGTTGGTCGTTTTTGACATTGCAGACAAGCAACTTTATGCGTATGATTCCATGGACTCTTCATGCAACCATTAAGTTGTTGAATCCTGTGTCGAAAAATTTTCTGTTATTATCCCTTTGTATTTGTCATGCACTGGTTTTCATAGGAAGCGTAAACACATTAACTTCAAGAATACAAAGGCATATATCGACCTGTTACCGACCCTCTTAACATTCAGTGGATCGTTAGAGAGATTCCACAGCAAAAAGAAGGGTCACTGTAAAAAATCTATTCTCTCTTTCTATGCATTTAATTCTTTTTTTATTTCTAATCATTTGGTAAATATTTATAAAATTTTGTGTTCTGCAGCGATTGTGGTGTATTTGTTGCTGCCTTTTGCGGAGTATGTTAGCCTTGGAGATTTGTCAATTCTCGCAGAAGACCTTTATGATATTGACCAACATCGTAGATGCTATGGAGCGCTCCTATGGGACTATGCTACAAAGAAGCAGGAAGATGGGTCAATAGTGAAAGTGAGGTTATAGGCATACTAGCAAGGAGGAAGGGTGCACCTACATTGAATAAGAAAACAAGAGTCTAGAGAAAGAAGAAGTACTGTCATGTATATGTAATTTAGTTGATGCTAGTTTGTAGGAGAAGTATAGTATACAACTTTCTGAACAATTCATTTGTGTTTTTATTGTAGCAGACCTTTTGTTTTGTTAATTTCTATCTAGTATAGTAGTTCACTTGATAATAACTTGGTGGTTTTATCTCTAGTTATTTAATATTTACAGCACTTGTTCTTCATTATCTTAAACGTAGTTATTATGTTGTTAGAATACAAATTATCTACAAAAGAACTTCAAATTATCTACAATCTGGAAACACTGAGTGTTGAGATTGTATATAATTTTATAGTTGAATATGTATATAATTTGTAGGGAATACCTCCAGTTGTATTTAATTTCTGTATATAACTGTCAGTTCAAGTTAAATTAATTATTTTAACTTGTAGTTATATTGTAGATAATAAATATTAACTGCTATGTACAGAATGTTAAAAAATAGAGGTAGATGCTTGACACAATATAGAAAAACATGTTAACAAACATAGAAACAAATTGAAATTAACTACATTATGATCTTTAAAAACTTAAACGATTACACACAAAATCTGTTAACTTGAACACACTAACAATTATTTTGAAATACTATTCTAACTACATGATATTTATTTCTTTTTGGGCACAATTCTTGCAAGATCTTTTGTTATGCCCTTCACCTCCACAGTTGCCACATGACACCTTGTACTTCTTTGACTTTAGTTCATTATATGTTTTGTATCTTTCCTTTTGAGGTCTTCCTGGCTGTCTTTTCTCTCTCGTAGGTGGATTTACTACTTCATCAGATATATGTTGTGGCACATTTCATTTGCTTTCATCAGGAAGGGGATTTACTGGTATTTCATACGTATGCAGTAGACTCTCCTTTGTGTAATACGGAGAGCAATAGTTTTTATAAGTTTCATTCATGTGCCTTAAAGCTGCCAAAGCATGCACACATGGAAGTTCATCAAGTTGGAACTGGCCACAGCTACATTTCTTACTTTCAAGACACACAATGTATCGCTTCACACCATATCACAGTATGGATATGATCTGTTGAAGCACTCACCTACAATTACTTAACAATCAGAAAGAAAAATATTTACAATCATAAAAATAGATTATCTACAATTTATCTACAACTTATCTACAATTTATCTACAAATTAACTATAATTTTTCTACAATTTATCTACAATCTGAAAACACTGTATATTAAAATATTATGTTTCTACACCAAATAAACAGACTTACCCTAAGTTTCTGAGATAATGTTCTGTTGTTCTCCAATTCTTTGTTGAATTTGGACCCAAGGAATGTGAAAGTACCCTTTGCTTTCAATAACTTCTTGTTCATCCAACGTTCAAGAAGTGTCCTCATATACTCTAATAGGTCAAATATTGGCAGCTCTCTTGCATCTTTTATTACAGCATTCAACGACTCTGCAATGTTTGATGTCATATTCCAAGTTCTATTCACCGTTGCATGTACTCGTGAGCATTTATGATAGCCAATATCATTGAGGTATGATTTAACACGCGGGTCTATCTCTTCAATCTTCGACATCCTTTCATTAAATTCATCCAGAGTGTATGACCGTGCTGTAGCAAAGTACAATTCATTTAATTGTAGATGACCCTTCTTGAACTTTGCCCTTATATTTGTCCAAATATGCCACATGCAAGAGTAGTGTGGCACGCCCGGATAGACAATTGATGTTGCCTTCAGAATACTCTTATTCCTATCTGAAAAACACACATTGAAGTTCTTTCACCATATGCTTGCTTGAATTGCTCAAAAACCACTTCCACGATGCGTCTTTTTCCGAATCAACCACATCATATGCCAAAGGCAATATTGTACCTACATTATTAGTCAAAAAATAATTAACTGGAAGCTTTGAAAATGCATATAAAAACACAAGTACATATAAACTACCATATATCTACAATGTATCTACAATTTATAAACTACCTACAAAATAACTACAATTTTACCTGCTGCATCCATTGTGCTTACTATCAGCATAATCCCCCTGTAGGCTGACTTTAAGAATGTCCCATCAACCACTACTACTGGTCTACAATATTCCCAACCACTTATTGATGTACAAAGAGCAACAAATGCATATAAGAAACATTCATCTGCTGTCTTCTTCAATTTAACAACTGAACCAGGATATGTCTTCTCAAAAATATAAAAATATTTTGGTAATTTGCTGTAGGACTCAGCTGGATGACCTCTCAAAAACTGTAAAGCTTTTTCCTTTGCTCTCCATTCTTGCATGTAGCTTAGGTTCACTCCGTGTTGGGACAACATGTCAGTTTGTATGTCCTTTGGTGTGTAAACTGTCTTAGGATCACAATACTTTGGAATGATTATGCTACCAACTACAACTGCAGTACGTTTAGCTGTATGAATGTATCTTCCATTAAGGTGCATGTGTGTTTTCGGTTGAAACTCCTGACCTTGAACATTGCAGAATCATTAATTGATGTTGCCTTGAAGTACCAATTACAGTTTTCTCCAACGTATATAAGCCAGTAGCTACAAAAATATATATTTATAATATAGGTTATCAATGCAGATGTAACAAAAGGATTGTTTTAACATAAAGTAACACACTATACAATATAACTACTTTTCATCTACAATGTTTGAAAAACACATATCACAAGGAAAATACTGTTTATAATGATCTTTTCACCATTAATATCTTCATACCTTCTGTGGCTAGATCTTTTAACCTTGAATTGGTACTTGTGCATGACAGAATAGTGCTTTATTGTAGTTGCAATTGTTTGCTTGTCTTGATACACTTGTCCTTCTTCGATAACACTTTGTGTACCTTCAGTTATTATTTCACTTTGATATTCCTCTATGACGGGAGAGGCTGGCATATCAAGTAACTTTATTGTCCCAGACGAACCTGCATATAAATAAAGATAAACATTGTCATTACAATTTTGTAGAATCTTTGTAGATAAATTGTAGATGAGAGAAAATTTGTAGCCAACATTTTTTTCCACATAGATTGTAGTTTAATTGTAGTATAAATGTAGTAATTGTTGATACCCAATTTTTCTCTGTATATTTTTAATATGCAAAATACTTTCAAAATAGCATGAATATGCATATATAAGTATGTCCCAAGATTTTAATATTTTTTCTCTTAATTTTAAGGATTTTTAAATCAATTTATTGCCTTATTTTAGCAAGAAAAACCCAATAATTGTTCCCAAAATTATCATTTTGGTGATTCATCTATTGGATTCTCATATTTACATTAAATATATCTAACATAATCTTTGCATATTTTTTATAAGTTTATTTAATATTTTTAAAGCTAAATTGCACGTAATTGCGACATTAGCCTTTTTAAAGATTTAATGGTGTTTATATTTATAAAATTAACTTCAGTATTTTTAATTGGATAATTATGTATTATTAATCATTTTAGTGCTTTTAATTTATTTCTGGAAATTATTTTACTATTTTTAAAAATTAAAAAATGGAAAAAGTAGCTATTTAAATGTTAGCCCATTTCATTTCAATTTTGGCCAAATTTGAACCCCTAATTAAACACAATCTCAAACCCAATTACCCAACCCAAATCCTAAATCTACCCGACCCACAACCCATTTGAATAACCCGCCCGGATCCCCATTTAATCCAGGCCGTTGATCAAAATGATCAACGACCACCATTCACCCTTCCTAAATTAAACAAAACGACCCCCCAAACCCCTCTCATTTTCCCTCACTCAACCAACTCTCTCTCCATCTTTGGTTCTCTCTAGAACCTTCCTCTTCCCCCTCCTCTCCGATGAGTCTCATCCATTTTCTCCGGCCATTTTCTGGCCTGAATCTATGGTGGTCTCACCACCTACCAGCCTTCCATGGTGCATACACGCTCGTTTGCAGAGGTTTCATGGCCTGACCACGAAGAAGCTTCGTCCAGGCCTCGTTAATTCAAGTTTTATGGCCATCTCCGGCCTTGCTCCGGCAAGCTATGTCTGTTTCGAGCCTCGCTTCGATTCCTCCTTCTTTGATCCAGGCCTTTCTCACCGTTTGAGTTCCTCTGAAACCCTAGCTTTTGAGGTTTTTCTGATCTCTTTAGATCTGTTCTAGATCCGTGTTTTCCCTAAGTTTTTAAATGATTTCTTGATATTTCTTTCAAAGCTATGTTTTCAAAACCCTTTATTTATTTTTTTCGACCTAAGGTTTCTGAGTTATTTAGAGGCTTCTCTGATTTTCTTTTTCTTTTGTGTTTTTTTTACTACGTTTCTTCTACTGTGTTCTCTGTGAGTTTCTTATTAAGTTTCTTCCACTATGTTCTTAATTAGTTTCTTCTACCATGTTTGTTTATATGTTTTTCCTACTGTGTTCTAATTAGTCTTCTTCTACTATGTTTCTTATTAGCTTCTTCTACTATGTTTCTTTGAGCTCTTCTACTGTAATTTGCATGTTACTCTTTTACTATGTTTCTCATGAGTTTCCGTTACTGAAAAAGCATGCCTGTCACGACCCGGATTTCCCACCCTCGGGATTCGTGATGGCGCATACTAATGGGAGCTAGGCAAGTCAAACCTTAACTAATTGCTACACTTTTATTTTTGCTTCGTTTTAACAAACACAAGTCGATAATATGATAAAAGCAGAATTTTAAATAAATAAGCGGAAGTCAACAATTATATATCTTAAGGCTACGTCTATTATAACTTTTGAAACCTCAAATACCCCAAAACCTGGTGTCACAGTGTCACAGACTGTCTAAGAGTTACTACATACAAGGTCTGAAGAAATACAATACACTGTTTCTGAACAAAAGGAAATAAAATAGGAAATAGAGATAGAGGGAGATGCCAGGGCCTGCGGATGCCTGCAGGTCTACCTTGGGTCTCCGAGTGGACTGAAGGAAGCCCTCCAACTACTGTCCGAA